CTACAAACAAGAGAATACAAAGCAATAACAACAAAATAAAAACAATAATTCTAATAAGTGCTTTATTGTAATTTATTTCATATAATCCTATCTGAGGTATATTAGAAGGAAGAAGTTTTCACTTTAGGACTGGAATTTCTCAGAAAAGGAAACTGTCTCTTCTTAAAAATATCAAATCACATTATCACAGTATTCTATTTCATTAGAGGTCAAGACATTCTTCTTCCATGGCCAGCATGAGATGCATAGCAAGAAACATACTCCATTAATTGTTAAATAAGACCTTAAGTTTATCTTAGTTCCATTGTACGTTACTAAACTATATACCTAAATAAGTTCCTATAACCCTCGTTTTACATGCCAAAAATTTAATACTTTTCCTAGAAGTGAGAAACAAAACCTGTTTAGATGGTTTCTTCACTGGACATTACTATGGAAAAGTATGTTCTGACTTTGATCTTTGGTTTAGGCAAAATGTTTTGAAATGTTTTGCTTAAGATTTGTTTTCCTGAAATGTGCCTGCTTCTCCCACACTGAAAAGATTATCATGAAAAACTTTTTACCTTGATTTCTGCATTTTCAGTGTCAGATTGGAAGTATGGTCAGTATATTCACTTATTTTTTGAAGATGTACAGACGATGATGCTTGATACATCTTCCAGGCCAAGATTATGTACCTGGAAAATTATGTAATCCTTAATTACTCCAAGGTGTTACTGTTGACCCTGGCTGCCATGTAGATCTAAGATGCCAGAGGAACATGGCAATTCTGCATCTCATGAGCTACATCTCATCTCTGCATTTCTTCCACTTTTTTTTTTTTCTGTTTATATTTTTGCATGATAAACTAATGCTTTTCCCTTCAGTTCATTTACATGGAGTTGATGATTTCTTCAGAGGTGAAGACAATGTTCTTGGGGCAAGAACGGTTCTGTAAAGATGTGTTTCCTTTAGTTTCCTGGTAGAAACAGCTGTTCTTGAGCATTGCCATATTACTGTGCAGTGTGCTTATTAATACAGATAGTGATGGCTTTTTTTCTGCCAAAGACAGAACACAATTTCCATATGATCATAGCTTTCAGGTTTACTATTTCTTCTGAAATAGGAGTCATTTCCAAGGAAGAAAGTTTATATGCTAGCAATTGAATTAGACAGTTTATTATTTTTTTTTTGTTTGTTTACTTTTATTCCCTTTCTTTCAAAAAAGTATCTGTGGTTTGAGGCACATTCCACCAACATTTGATTCAGAAAGACACAAAATTAGAATTGCGCTCCTGCTTCACTCCACCACTCGGAATGTCATACGTTGCCTCTGTTTTGCTGTACTGAGGAAATGAGTGCTTGTGGGAGGAAAACAACACCGTATCTCTGCTTTCACAAGAGTAACTTGCTTCTGGTAGGAAAACTGGTGGAGGACAAGGGAAGAGGTGGTAGAATAGGAAGAGCAGGCTGTGCTCACAGATGGAGGAGATGGAGCATTGTGGTGAAACACCCTTGTTTATGTGGTAAAATCAAAATGTTTCTTTTTTTGTGTGTGTGTACAGGTAATGTGTAGGCATGAAATTAAAGCAATGGTGTCTTTTATAATTGCCAAAATAAATCAGCTCTTAAAACAGTAAGCAGCAAGATGAACACGCTAATCGAATTATTATTCAAAGCATACTGAAGATAACCAGAACCTAATTCCAGGAATCACTGCTTTCCCCTGGTATTATTTTAAAGAATTAAAGTTGCAGAAAGGGAATATTGTCTGTTGGGTAACAGGATTAGTAGTGTATTACCTCATGAATTACATGTTCTGGCTTCGACATCTGGAGGTCGTTCTTAAAGTGCTTCTTTGTGTGATTACTGTCAACTGATTATTTTTTTCCAAGCTATGATTGCAGAGAAGCATCTCTTAACTATTTCACTGTGTAATGTAATATAGGAGACACCTTCGACAACTACTTAAGCACTGCAACTGGGAAGGTCTAGTGTCTGGGAAAATGATAAGTTTGCATGATTTTGTGCTCTTTTAGTTTTCCTCTCTGTAATTTGTTTCTTCACTCTTTCTTGGGGAATCTAAGGGTCATTCTCAAATAAATTGAAACTCATTCTTAATATTATTTATTTTTTATTTATTTTAATAATGCTTTTGAAGTAACAGTTAAGGTCATATATTCCATTGCTACAGACTGATAGGAAAAAAAATCATATTTCTTAAATATTCACAACCAATGTTGAGCAGAAATAATGAAAGTGTCTTCCTTTCTTGACTTGTTTCATTAGTTAGTCCATCCTGGGTGAAAAGGTCTTATTCACCATGATGAACTGGAAATATTACTAGGATGAAGCACCTCTATTGCCTGCATGTCTTTGATTTCATATGTCTAAATGACATTGTCTTCAAGCTCATTTATTCTGGAAGGTGTAGAAAAAGGCAGCTTTCATCAGTAATGTATCTGGCGACACTGTTCATACAAAAGAGAAAGATGAATGAAAGATGAAGTTTTCCTATCAACAGAATGGTTAATAAAATCATGCAAATGAAGAAAACACTCAAAAAGCTGGGAAAAGATTTAAATGTTATTAAGGAGGTGGATTTTGTCCTAGTTTGAAGAACTTGCCAGGAAAGAAAAAGCCCAGCAGTGGGGAGTAATGCGCTAAGTTGCAATAGTTCTGTAGCTGGTACCATGCTGCAGCAGTGGGGTCTTGCTCATTTAGCCGTATATGGTTTTACAGTTTAAAGTTTTATAGTCTCCTACTGCCTGTAAATAAGAAGAAATAATTAATTGTCCAGTGTGGTCTGTAAAGCAACTTTTTAATGAGAGGAGATTTCAGTATAGAACTTACTCAATTCTTATTAAGGCCAAGAAATATCTCCTAGAGGGAGCACATGGTGATGTTAGGTGGTTTCTGACATTGATGCATCCAACATATCAAACTTCTACACATTTTGGCACAGAACTGGAGCCATATTTGTCATAACTTACTCTCATCAGATTACCAGATCCTCATTAGTGATATTGTTTAACCATTTGTGTCTGGAGTAATCTACGTCGCTGACGCAAGTCACATAAATTCACTAGGTCATTCTAAAACTTGGCAGATAAAATCTGAAAATCCAATGCGCTGCCCTGTGGGTTCTGCAGAGCTCCATGATACTTGTAGCAGCTGGTTGTATTTCCATGAACGTGGTCTCCAAGATTTCTCAGAAACATTCAAGCCTTGAATGTTACTTGACTGGAATGTCAAAACTGTAAATAAAGTTATAATAACAAAAGTTAATTTAAAGATATAAACTGGACAGACAGTAGTGTTCTTCCCTATACTGTGCTGTTGTCTCCTTTGATAACGGAGTAGAATTGAAATACATTTGGCATCAGAAAGCAGGTAGTATGGTACTACAGGAAATATGCTATTATATTGCCAGCTTATGTCTTACCTGGGTGAATGATGTACAAGATATGTTTCTATATTTGCTTGTATTTGTGGGGAAAATGAGGGCCTGGGAAGCTCACAACTAAAACATCAGTGGCTGTAGGTAAGTTTTCATTTTACAAGGTCTTTCTCAATGGGAACTTGTTGATACCTGGTTTGATTTCTGATGAGATTTTATTAAGGATGAAGACTTTTGAAAGAATGCATGCAAACTAGATATGGAAGTCATTGCTGAATGGGGCACTGGAGTTTCTAAATAATAGGTTGGGGCATTTAAAATGGCTTGTATTTGATTCTGTTCATGGTTGAACTCTACCTTTAGTCCTGTGGGGATGGCTTATCAAAATGCTGTAGAATAAAAGAGGAAAGTCACAAGTACCAGTCTGGAACCATGATCAGCATCTCGCAGGCAGGGATGTGCAGCTCTTCTATCTCATATCCTTTTAGTCTCTTTAATATAGTCCTTCAATTAAAAACTAATGCAGAGTAATTTTTTATGTAGTTGATGCCAGTTGGGAACTCTGTAAGGATCACTGTCTGGGACTAGGGCAAGAATAAGCTATTAGTAATTGCTGCACATTTACCATAGCTTCAGACGGGAGACTTTGCTGATTCAGCTCTTGCAGAACTGTGTATTTTTCATAGAAATGAATGTAGTGTTCTTATGTGACTCTTCCTTAAGACCTTCACTGATACTATTTTACTAACGTTTTCAAGTAGGTCTGTGAGGTTGGTAGTATCATCTTACATTCTATGGACCAGCAACAAATTTTCTTCTTCTTTTTTTTTTTTTTTAACTGGATAACAGAGTGTTTGTTTAATTAAACTGTACTGCTTCAAAAACAAAGAGCACAGCTGCAATGTGACAAATGCACTGTGTTAAAGCTAGAGGGGAATCATCATCTGTCCTCAAAAAATAAAATCAAATTTCTAATTTAATTTAAACTGCAGGATGAAATCTATGGTAGCTATTGGCCTGGACATGATTTCTCTGCAATTTTATAAAAATATATAAGTTCACTTGACTGACTCCTGATTTCTGTCCTTATAGAGAGGAGAATAGCCCAGATTTCTGAATAAAAGATTACTATGCCAATTAAAAAATTAGAATCCATTTCAGAATTGTCTGAAAAGGTTTTTCTTGTTTCATGCGGCCTTTTCAAATGAGAAACATGATGGAAGTATGCCAATATTGTTTGTACTTTTTTTTCAGAGGAGCTAATCCATTATCCATGTTAAATGATGCCACCTGTTAAAAACAGAATTATAAAAAACCCTTCTTGAAGCATGAAATATGAATTAATTCCATTTCTGTGTTTCGGAAATATTTCTGCAGAAGAGGATAATTAAGCAGAGAAAATGAGTGCATTTAGGAGTGTACTATGTCTGGCTTGTATTTTCAGGATCACTGATGATTCTCATGTTCATTTCATGAGAAATCTGTCCCATCTGTGCAGTTCTGATCCATTCCTTGTTGTAGCTGAGCACTAACATCTTATCCCGAAGACTGAGCATAAGAAAATAGGGCTTGGAAGAAGATAGCCAATACTCTAATGCATTGTCATTCTTTTGTTTTTCAGAATCCTCCAGCCATACAACTCGAACAATAATGGTAAGTATAGAGGAGTTATAGGTACAGATCTATCTATGGATATGAGGTTTTCCTTGGAGAAAAAAAAAAAGTGCATAGTGCAGTATTCAAGACTGCTGGCATGCTTTCTTGCACAATATGGAGAGATAAAATGAGTCTGTCTGCCACCACATTTCATGGAAAACTTTGGGGAAAGAAATGTGAGGCTGAATAATTTCAGAAGTGATACTGTGTTAAGTATGAGCACAATAACATCCAGTTACAGTTTAGTATTTGTTTGAATAGTTTTATTTATTAGGTTCATAAAATCTTTTGCATTTTTATTTATCACACGTTTCAGAGCAATGGCCAGAACATCCACTGAGTAATTTCTTGTGTCACAGTCCTGTAAGGCTGGCTTCTGAATTTACCTGGAGTTAAATAACTTGTATTTCAGAAGCAGGGAAATATTAAAAGATAGATGCATTTTCAAAAATTAGATTAAAATGTTCCAGGCAAAAATATGCCACAGTTTTATAGTCTATCTTGGGTTTTTTATAGGGTGAGAAACTACATCACTTTCTGTTTCAAACTGGCATAATAAGTTGGATAACAGCCCCAAAAAAATATTCACACAAAGGAAACCATCTCTTGCTAGAAATGATTTGTACCTATCTTGTGGGGATTTGGGGGGGAGGAGGATCCACTCTTGGGAAAAAAAGACTGATTTTTTGAAGCAGATTCTGGCATTTCAGAATAAAACCCAGCAGCACATGATGTGACTGGAGTCTGTGTTTGTTTTCCTTTCTATAGATTTCAGGGTGTCCTTCAAACTTATGCCCTCTTGTGCTGGTACAGTATTTGTGGGACATGAACATTCCCACACAGGAGGAAAGGGTAAATTTAATTCATTGTACAATGTTCATCAGTAGTCATTAATAATCCAGTGCAAATGGATAATGAATTGTTAAGGACCACAGATCACAAATTTTCAAAAAAATGGAGACATGCCAGGAAAAAGATTTTTTTTTCCTAACTGAATATAATGTTCTCCTTGTTTAATCCTTTTTTTATCATTAATTTGGTTTAAGTCTTATTATTTCAAAGTAAGATGCTTAGGGTAATTCACCTAATATTTCTATCTTCTAAAATTTTGGAAGGGATTGAAACTTTTTTTTCAATATTTTCCCAATTCTAATTTGATGCCAGGGAGAGAGCTGGGAAATAATGCTGAAGCTGGTGAAATGTTCACTTTTCATTTCTCCTTACTATTAATTTTATTATTCAGAAGAAATTCTGCACAAGTCTTCAACATAACTCTCATTTTGGCTTTTCTGCTGTTGGATCTGAACAGTTGTGAAACAGACATAGAGAAATGCCTTCCCCCAGTCACCATTAAGTGTCCCACCAAAATATGACTAAACTTAAAGAGATAAGAAAAATGACTTAAAATAACTTGAGTTCTTCAGGGTCTTCAGGTGTGCGCCCTTCCAGAACACTCTGCTGACAGCATTAGGGGAGATGAGGTTGCCTGGGCTCATGTTCTACAGTCATGTCCTTGCATTTAAATTGATACAAGTACAATTAAGAACAAGTGCGGTGTTAAATTGGTGTGAAAATGTCCAGTCCTCTCTGCAATCAAAACGTAGTTGAGTGTGTAATGGAACATTTCTTACTCACCTGTGAGTAGGGAGAATACTTTCCCATCAGGAAAGCCAGAAAATATATATTATTCAATGCATTAGAAATAATATGAGAATATGTAATACAGTAAAATGCAGACATTTTAAAGTGATACTGTTGAGATCCATTTTTGAATGAATACTGCAATAAGTAATTATTTTAAAATATATTCCACTTTTTTTTCTGATTATGGTAACTATGCTAGCTGAGATAAAGTCAGTCTTTAGTCATACAGAATGAGAGAATTATAGCAGCAAATCTGTACACTGTCTAAGCTGCTTGTTGTGAAAAAGCTTTTGTCTCCAGAACAAAGCAATTGAAATGCTTTTAAGTTACATTTAGAGGTGTTGAAATAACGTAAGTAAGACATTACACCTGTTTTTTTTTCTCTGAAGATATCTGATTTATGTTTAAATCAAAGTCAGTGAGGAAAACAGTCTGCTTTGCTTTGGAAAAGGAAGTGCTCTTTTTTTTTTTTCTTTTTTTCCTGAGAACATTAGATTTGTTTTTAGTTTTTTTTTTTTTAATCTCCAAATAATTCTGCTTTTCCCTTTAAATATGACAGTGATGGCTCTCTTGTTTTAGATTCCTGTTCATATGAAATCATAAACTAGGTGTATGTCTGTGTGTATTAGCGTGTGTTGGGGTAGGTAGCAGGGGACAGTCTTCTAAATTTCAAGGATATAATAGATTTCCTGTTATTCACCAGATAAATATCTGGGTTACTCTTTCATTGCTTACTGGTGTAAGGATTGCATATAAATATTTATTGCAAAGTGCTGCCTTTGAAGACATGGTTTATTCAGCAGTTACAAAGCTTGTGTAGCCTCCATGAAATAATAGAGCCTGGACACATGGTAGTATTTTCTCCATGATGCCTTGGGGAGTCAAAAGTATTTTAGTTTTTGCATGGAAAAGTATTTGACTTGGAGTTTCATCACAGTAACTGTTCTGTGTATTTTGTGTTGAACTGAACGGATCAGTGTGGTTTGAGGCAGAAAGCAGTGGTGATTCGCCCCTAGTATGTGGGATCCTGATCTCAGCATTTGAGAGGCAAATCAAAATTAGGATGTGGTCCCTAGCGCTGGAGAATAAAGTTCTTATTTTCTCTTGCCTTTAAGTGTAATATAATTAATTTCTTTGAACAACTTGAAAGCACTGCAGCAGAAGGGGGGTAAGAAAAGGTAAAGCTAATCCTTACAATGCAACAGGAATGAGATAATATTGTAACTCTTGCACTATTTTATATAAAGCTATATCTTCCCTGAAATAATGAGTTCTGATCTAATAAAAGTAGAAAAAAAAAGAGAAGTTCAGAACTAATAATGACATCCATCTCTGCCAAGAGAAAAGGTATTATAACAATTTTTTTTTTCCATGAACCTCAATTATTTTTCAGAATTTATGACATAGGAAATGCACTTGTACCTTGTGTGTTTCTCGAATATGTTTTGCCAGTGATTACATATATCTTGAGTAAAGGAAATATTCAGTGTATTAGAAAGCAACCTGCAAAAGAAAAAAGCTATCGTATTTGAGAACTTAAACTCATTTCTGACTGGGAAAGCAGAGGAAAAAAAATCCTTTGGGACCTTGAATGTTCTTCTGTAATATATAGTACTGTCCATTTCTCAGCAAAACTAAATCTTATGGCAGAACTATAAAATCTAATCTATGACAGTTTCAAATTCATATTCTTTTTTTTAAGTATTATCCACACCAGAAGAAGCTCATCAGTTTAAGATCCGTATGAGTTTCTAATATAATATATATATATATAAAAAAACAATTTCCAAACAATGTGTTTTATCATGAAGTTACTCTAAACAACAGCTAAGTTGCTTCTGTTGCTCTCCTCTTTTCCTTCTTCCTCCCCATCAAAAACAACACAAAATAACAAGCCATCAAAACCAAACTACAACCTAGACACTTAATGAAAACCTGAAAAAAAAAAAATTAAAAAAATAAGCAAATGCTTAAAGGGACTGCAGTGGAAGATTTATGGCCCTAACTATGGGCAGCAGTAACCAAATTCACCAGATAAAGGAAGATAATTTAGGTCTCTCTGACTCACTCAAATTTGATGTCTTGTCACCGTTTCTGTTGTTGTATGTGTTTTTGCATCAAGTCTAAGCAGTCATAGAGGAAAATGTTCAGGTATTTGCTCATTTTTTTCAGTTAAAATAGCAAACACTTTTTCCTTCAATGTTTATAATTTTTCCTACTGGAAGGGAGCAAGTGGTCTGCATATAGGATATGTTGAAATTTGCAACATAATGTGACTATAATGCATAGAATGCCAGTGTAAGAATTTTATGGGGATAAATAAGACTCTTATTTCCTGGTTTTAGATGTTATATTCTCATCATATGATTTTGAAAGATTAGTTTTGACTTCTGCTATTTTTTGTGTGTGTGACCATCCTTTACTAAGTTGTTCTCTAATTTGAGGCTACTCATGTGAGTGTGCAGAACTGTGCCAATTTCATGAGTTTTTAAAAAATACTGCCCTACTGATAATACTCTTTATCTTCTCACCAAAAAAGATACTTCCTCCTCATAACATGTGATGCTGAATGCATGGTAAATAAAGTAAGCAGAAATCTCACTGCTGTGTACTACCTTTTAACGTGTCTGTTTGGATCAAATAGTGTTATTTATAAATCCTGCTAGTAATTGTCCGTTATGTCCATTTTGTTTTGTATCAAATTGAACTCTAATTTTCAATATTAATATATTCATAGCTAGATAGTCTTCCAAAATGCAACGTATAGGCCACAAAGAAAACAGTGTTTTTACTCTCTACCTTTATACTCTCTCCAGATCCAAGTACTTAGTGTCTTTAAGGCTTGTTGTACAATTATTCCAGGTTAAGGTTATGGGAAAAGTAATGCATCATTTTATGTTTAATATTATCTGCCTTAAAATAAACGCAGCATCTCTCATGTATAATGACTTGTGAGGAACTTAAGGACTATAGTGATAGCAAGGTAATATAAACATTTGTTAACCTCCTTCTGTCTAAACTAGCAGCAGGACCAGGCCATTTGTCTTATACTCGTTTGTGTTATTTTTATTAAAACACAAAGTTGGAGAAACTGAGGACCCAAGAAGTGAGAGGTGTGGGTTTTTTTTTTTTTTTTTTTTTTTTGTAATAAGTAGAAAAGAAGGTGCTACCAGAGCCTTGTTGAAGAAAAGTAGCTATTATGCTTATTTCTCTTAAAATATTTCTCTTTATTTATTTATTTTTGTTATGGTTTCAGCATGCTGCTCCCCATGTTCATATGACCAATGGCAAGGCCTTGCAAACCAGTGCAAGTGCCATTAAGACAAGCACGATTCCAGTGATCAAGAGACAGAGGCAAAACTGGCTCGACGCTTCAGATGATGGCTTCTTTATAGCTACAGAAGAGACCAGGTAAGTGAAACGGATGCTAAGCAGGGATCGGGCTTCACTGTGTGTTATTGATCCACTATTTGAATAACAGTTTTTGTCATTATCACTTGATATTGTCTTCCAATGATGAGTAGTGGTACATCAAAATATACACACAAATTTACATCTCTAGTACTGATATTATCAGCATTACACCAGCTAATCTTCTGTTGTCAGGACACTTATCTGTGGAAAAGAGTTAGTTTTTAATTGCTACTAATTGAAGATCATATTCGGTGAAACTTTAAGGCTTCTCTGATCATTCAACAAAACCTAAATGAATCTGCAACACAGGTTCCCACTGTAAAATTTTTGGAACCTAAATAATCTTCTATATATGCAGTGGACAATAAAGGAAAATATAGCAGATAGCATCTCTTCCAGGATATATTTCTTTTATTTAAAAAATAAAATTAAAAAAAAAAAAAAAAAGATGATGGTCTCTCTCATTCTCTCATTTAGAGATTAACTTGTAGAATTTAAATGGACTCCTGCTTTCCCAAAGAGTTTGATACTCCCAGAAGAGTCTCTGGCTTTCTGGAGGCCACTGTTTTCCTTTCTTCATCTGTTATAACCTGGTCGTTCCCTGATTAAAACATTAGACTAATACAGGCTGTTGTTGTAACCTCTGGTTACAAGGTTACAAATGGCACATTATTTTAAAACCTTTGTAATCTTGCCTAACTTAAAGCAAGAGAATTATTATGACAAGTAGTATCAGGCTGCTCTTCAATTGTGTGATTATTTCCTGAGCCTAGAAAGGTTAGTGGCTGGGTAGAAATGTAAATAATAAAATGAGAGAAGAGAATAACATAAGTCAATATGGACATTTTCCTTGATTAGCTCTATATTTAGTTCAGTTTATGGTAAATACTATCAGGGATGTTAAAATGCTAGAATGTGGCAATTTGGTGAGTATTTCAAATAAATATGGCCCTTTTTTACTTTTAAATGAGGAATTCAAAGATTCAGAGAAATCAGAGAAACTGCTGACAGGATGTGCTGATATGATTAGGCTTGGGCATCACATCTAGCCCAGGTTACCAGTTGTCACTATTTTGAGAATTGTTTGATAGCCTCTATACAAAGAGTGTAGTAATATCAGATTAATCCCTTGTGGCTCTTCTATCTAGAAGTGAGGCTGCTAACCTAAGCCATTGGTTTAAAAATTTAAGAATTTGAAGGGGGGTTTAATTTGTTTTTATAGAACATAGAGATGTGCCTGTGAAGGTTGAGATGAGTCCAAGATCTCTCTCTCTCCACTGATGTCAGTGGTAGTTCAAATGACTGGTTTAAATGTTTTTATTCTGAACCAATGTGAGATGAATTTTCTCTTCAGAAATATTCGTGCTTGGCAGCGTTGTCAGTGCATATTCTCATAAATCCCCTGTCTGCACCTCCATGGCTGTGGTCACCATTCCCAAACAAGGTCGAGGTGCGGCAGAAAGGCAAGAACTTGCACTGGCTCCATCTATATTCCCAATCATTAAAAATGTAATGATTGACACTTGAAATGCTTTTGTGCCTTAAGGCACTTGACCTTGATGACAGCCCTTCAGAAAAGGAGAGTGTTTTAAAAATGGTCAGCTGTGCCCATGCTGAAAAAGTGCAACGGGGAATGTTCAGGGATGAGCAATGATCAGGATGGTCCCCAGTCTGACAGGAGCTAACATTAGTTCAGTGCAAGTTCATGTACATCCTTCTTCAATTTGAGATAGCAGTGCAGAAGAAGTAATAGTGCCTAATTCTTGTCTTTAAAACTGCAACTGGAGGGAGGCAGCGACTTTTTATCCCTTGAAACACCATTTCACCCAAGATCTGATCCTTCCCTCTCACAGGTCTTTTTCTTTATTTCCCATCCCAATTGATTCCTTCCCAACCTCAAGGTTGCTTTTTCCTTTCATACCTTTTAATTTGAGCCTTTGGTTCCTTCCACTCATATTTCAAGACTATTTCTCTTCTGTCAGCTCCCACTTGCCTCCTGCCATCGCAGTTGAAGTGGAAAGCATTACCCCCATAGTGGTTTGGCTGTTAGGAATGGGCCATGGTGACCGCTGAATGGGGAAAAAAGGAAGCAATAGACTAATGCTCTATTCCCTTATGTGCCTTTAATGGCACAAGTCAACCTGTCCTTTATAGAAGCACACACAGGCACATATAGTTGTGCATGGCCCTGACAGCTTTGGCTACAGCGGGACAGCAACAGGAAGAGGTGTCTGAGGAGAAAGGGGCTTTGAGGAGCAACACAAATTTATCCCTTCCTGCCATAGCTTGAGAAGATATTGCTGCCAGTTTGCAGCCATTAGGTGTTCCAATACGTGCTGAATGCTCAGCACAGGAGTAATTATCCCATTCAAGTCAAGGCAGGAACTTGTGCTTTAAGCCACATGTTTACGGATCGTGCTGCATCAGGATCCTGGCTGGTTTATATTGCCTATTTACTCATTAAAAATACATATAAAAAACCATGCTAACTGCTAACAGTCTATAAAAGCAAAAATATTGGCACATAATGTTTTGTTTACAATTATGGATAATAATTTTAATATCTCTATCCTAAAGCATTTTTGTTTGTACAGTGAATTAAAGTTTGTGATGCATAGTTCTATAAAATAGCAGGAAGGGAGTCTAGAGGATAAATTCTGTCAGCTGTTTACTTAAAAAGTCATGCTGCATTGGTTGGTTGATATTATCTGAGAAAATAATGAGATATGGCTGCCAAACTACCAGTAGCTGAGTATATGTATTTATGCCTATTGTTCTATTTTTGGAGAGATTTTAAAGAAATAATTATCCTCCTTGGAATGCACTTTATTAAGTCGCAATGTGCATCCTCACACATTTAAAAGTTGCTTAATCTTTAGAGAGATTCCTCCCCTGTTGTGCATCAGGGATGCACAACACCTGCACGCCCGGCGGACAATGTCAGCACAGCTCCCGTTTGAGCTTCCCTGTCTGCAAGCCCAGAGGTCCCTGGATGCCTGGTTGAGCCCCTTGTGTTGAGTTGAGCCCCTGTGGCCCTTGGCCAGCTTGGCAATGGGCAGAGCCAGTCTGTGCCTGCCCGCATATGAATCCATGTGTGGGTTGTTCCTGAAAACCCCTCACCAAGCTCCGGGAAGCGGCGAGTCCTGCCCCCTTGGGCCTGCTGCACCTGCAGCCAGGCGTGGGATCAGAGCTGGGGTTAGGCTGCACCAGAAGAAGAGGCGAGGGATGCTTCAGGGGATCCTTGCATTGACATTCCATCAGAATTTGGTGTTAAACTATGCTGCATTTAACATCCTTGGGTAGCTCTCTTTTCTTACCCTTTTTGAAAGAAATTCAAATCTGCTTACACAATTCATTGAAAAATCACTCTTTAAAGAGCCTTACATTTATTACTACTTGCCAAGGGAATCTCCTTTTTTTTATATATATTTATGAGCTACTAGGATTCTTCTAGCACTATGCATATGATATGTATGATCAATGAAACGTCTCAAAACACTAAAAGAATTTTGTTCAGGGACATTATACAAAATCATTTCTAGTACAAAAACACTACTTGGGATTTATACCTCTTTTGTTGAATAGCTATAATGCTTATTCTATTGTAGACCCAGTTGGAGGTTAGTGCTGGAATGACTGCATTGTGTGATATTAGATTCTTCGTACTGTATAACCATTCTGGGACTTACTAATGGAATAAATAGGACAGTTCATATTATGGTACCCAACCATTTAATAAAAATGTAATATGTCAGCTTAATACATGTTGGATTATATGGGGCATAATTATAATCTGTGAAGAAAATTAATAATATAGTTGTCGATTATCGTGGAAAATGTGTCTGCTGCTTAAAACTTTACTTACTAATTCTAGGTATGCTATGGGCATACATTACCTATACATGTGCTTTGTCCATAAAAGTGAATCTGTGCATGCTAATGATCATATTTGTCTAGGGACACCTAAGACATTTTGTGGAAAATTACATTTTCTTCAGCATTTTCATTATAAGAAATATGTGAAAATGTTTGGCTGAATGGGTTATAGCAGCAGATGCCATATGCTTTCCCTTCATGGGCCAAAAAGCATATTTGCATGTAGAACTACTGTTGAATGACTCGATGCTTGTTTCCTTTCAGTGCTGAAGCAGTTAGAAACCTTCTCACGGTAAGTGCAACTCCATTGGGAATGAGTTAACTACAACTGTTAAAATTAGAACATGATCTTCAGTTGTTAACAGCAGACTTTGCTTCTTTTTTGCTGATAGTTTACTTGAGAAGCATTCCTGAGGCAGCATTATATAGGCAATTTCCCTATTCTTCGCATAATGTTCTTTCTCCCAAATAAAAAGCTTCCCTTGATTTGCTGAGATACTGCATAAGCATTTCACAGTTGCAGTGATACAACTCATTTCTACTTATGCATGTGAGCGTAAGCACAAAAAGATTAAAACTAAAGTTGCATGTTGAGAAATGGAGAGGGCGTGAGGCTGTGAGGCTGTTGTGCCAATTTTAGCAAAATGTTGAGTCTTGCTTTGCCACGTGTGGTCTGGTTCTCTTGCAGAACCAGGAGAGACCAATGGCAAAGCTGACACTAGTGCCCTAAGCTGTGCCAGGGTAAAGCCTAACCTGGACCTTTAAAAGTCAGGCATGCCAAACTCACATAAGTGTTGCCCATATTGTCTCTATGCTATATCCCTTCTCCCTCCCACACGTGTTTTAGTCTATGCTTAGGAGAGGTCAGCTCCAGTGTTTGAGTTACCTCATGTGGCTTGTTGTGGGAGAAAAGGAAAAAGCGGAGGAGTGAGGTCCCATATTGCAGGGCACAGATGCAGGTGTAGATCAGAGTCAGAATTCCAGTGGTAATTTGTTGCTGCTTCTGCTTCACAAATGCACTTTCATATCACAGAGATCCTCATCACCATTTTTTTTAAAGTGTGCTCAACTGAGCACAAAAAGATTGTGCATCAAAGAAGCGTTTTTAACCTACACTCAGA